GGCGCGAAGTTATTCGCGCTTCGCGGTTCGGCTCCAATTCCTCTTCATCCTGCTCTTCTCCCCTGGGAGGTGGCGCGAGAGCGCGAAGTTATTCGCACTTCGCGCTTCGCGCTGCGCGAAGCGCGAAGTTGGGATCCCTTGCCTTGTCCCTCCTCCGCTCCCTCCCCAAATCCTCCGTGGAGCCGCAGGCTCTTGGGCTCTTGGCCGGCTGATCGATGCGAGCTGGAGCTGCGACCGCGCCGCCGCTGGCAGGACGTCCCCCTTTGCCCCCCTCCCTCCGTGGAGCCGCAGAGTCTTGCAGTCCTGGCCCGGCAGGTCGATGCCGGCTGGAGCCGCGGGCGCGCCTCTACTAGCAGGACGTCTCCCTTTCTCCCTCCTCCTCCCCTCCGGTGTCCGCCGTCGGCGACCCTCCTTCTCCCTGCTGTCCCCCGTCTTCCACTGGGCCGCCGAGCCTGGCAGCCTTGGCCGGCGGATCGGTGCCACCTGGAGCCGTGGGTGCGCCTCTGTCCCTTCTCCCCTCCCTCCGCCCTATGTTATGATGCTCCAACCTATTTTAGCCTTGACCACCAGAAAGAATTCAAGCGCCCCAAAAAAGTACCAAAATTCAAGGGTTTTCACGTGTCGCGCCCTGGGAGACACTCGCCCGACACTGCTTCGACACCGTCTCGACACTCTTTGCACACTTTTCGGGGTGCTCGAAATTATTTCTGGGATGCGGTCCTCAAGTAGGATGGGAACAACATAAGTCCTATGCCGTCGGTGTCCCTCCCTCCCCCCCCCGTCCTGCGTGGAGCCGCCGAGCCTTGAGCCTCTTGGCCGGCCGTGGTGGGTGCCATTTGGAGCCGTGAGCGCGCCGCTGTCGGCAAGACGTTCCCTTTCTCGTCCCCACTTGGTGCTCCGACACTGCTGGCGTGCGCGTCGAGGCCGTTCCCTGGCCCAGCACCAATTCCGACCCTGTCGGCCGCCTGTATTTCCGTGTTCTTGGCGGGTGTGGCTCTCTCATGGCCGCCTCTTTCCGCCTTGACTCTGGCGTTATGTCGGGCCTGTCCCCCTGAAGGAGGATTTCCGACGAAAAATAAAAAGCCCCAAAAAGGTATAAAAAACAAACTAAAACATTGTCCACAGACTATGTTTGGACTAGTTTTGATTCATGTTTTGGGCATTCTATGTTTCGTCGAAAATCGCCCTGTAGGGGGACAGGCCCGACTTAACTCTGGCGCGCGCTTCGCGCCCGAGTCTGACACGCTGCTTTGAGCCATCCGTGCCCGCGGACCTGCCCAGCGCGCAAGCGCAGTTATGGTGTGTGTGTTTGTCGGTGTCCCCTCTTCCTGCCTCCCCTCCTCTGCTTGCTCCCCCCGTTGTGGGATGTCTGGACTTTTCGGGGTGCATGCTGACCTCGTGTTTGGTATTGTGCCTTAGCGAGCCGCTGCTCCTTGGCTGCTGCTGTGTGATGCCCGTGGTCTTCCGTATCGTCGGGGGGAAGCGTTCACCACGTGTTCACGCATTCGTCTTCTCTCCTCCCTCCTCGGAGCCGTGGTGTCGGTTGATTGGTCGATCTGCCCGGCCCCAGTTGTGGCCGCTCAGACTGCCACCGAGCTCTTCCCTGCGTGGCGCGACGGCTGGCTACGAGACTTGCAATGCTCGTGCCTCATTGTGCTCGCTTGTCCGTGTCTCGCGCGTATGGGGTAGCCCCCTCTGAGGGGCCGTGGATTTCTCGATCTGTTTTCTGAGTGGGCGTGTGCTGTGTCTCTTTCATCGCGCTGCTGCGCACATCTGTCACCGGGCTGTGACACGGGCCCGGGTTTGGGTGTACCTTGGGGGGGGTGCCGTAGATTTTTCTTACGGTACGTATAATGCAATCCTCGTGAAGGGAGGGGAAGTTGATAATGATTTGGAGCCGCCAGAGGTTAAGTGCGTTGGGGGGCCAGGTTGGTAGCGGCACAGCGTTGTGGCGGGCATGGTCGCCTCCTCTTTCTCTTGTCGTTGTCGTTGGTTGCTCAGGGATTTAAGGATATGCAGCCATCCGCCCCCCCCCAGCGGCCGCTGCCGCTGAGGGGGATTGATCGAACCAAAGTGCTTCCTCTTCTGATTCTACCTCTCGTCCTCCTCCTCCGCCTCCTCCTCCTCCTTCTTCTCCTCCTCCTCCTCCTCCTCCTCCCTCGGCGTGTCCCGCCTGCAGTCAGGTGCGGGCGAGCAGCATGGACTGGGTCGTGGAGAAGGACGCTGGGCTCTCTTTCTCTGCGCCGCGCGCGCATCTGCGCGGACTCGCCTTGCCCACCGTGCGGTTCGCTGGGTGCGAAAAAGGGGCCACGTTGGCATCGGCATCCAGACGGCAGCCGGGGATGCCGAGGCGTGGGGCGAGGGGCAACAAGTGTCTGGAAGGTTCTGCTTCGACGAGCGAAGTCCGCGCTGCCCTCGATATCGCAGCGGCCCCCAGGTCAAGGGGGGGCTTCGTTGCGGGTGAAGGGGGGTACAGGGCACAGTCCGACCCGATCATATT